GTCTGAAAGTTTTTCATGAAATTTGAACCTCTGAGCTGCCTTCCTCTCAACCAAAAATACTGAGTGTAGCAATTTAATCATTAGATATGTAAAATTCTGAGCTAGATTAGGAAAAAAATTATATTGCAAAATAGCTTCTGATTAGCTATTCAAAAGCTGCTTACAGTTTAGCTTCTAGCATCTAACAGGCCGCCTGACTTTAGAAACGTGGAAAGTGCTGCAGTCATGGAGAACAGTTTGTCTCAATGTAATTACATAATGTTTGCTTAGTGCTAAATTGTAGTCATAAGCATACCCCCAAAATTATAGCAGAATGCTCGTTGCAGAGTCTTGTTTTCTTGAAGCTATCAGGACATTTTAGATCTTTGTTACATAAATGGAATTAGGAAAAAAGGTAGAGCAACTGAGTCTGGTTTTTTTTTCCTCTAAAGCAAGAAAGCTATAAGCTATCAGAAGCAAAAAAAAAAAAAAAATCAGTTCATGCCATTTCAGGATGCCAAATTCTACTTCCTTCTTCATGTGGGTCTGTTTATACTATAATATGCACCAAATCTGATTTAGCACCTTCTTTAGCAATAATAGTTAATAGTCCTGAGTCATGGTCTTAGTCATTCTCAGCTGCCTTCCTCCCCCTGTCCTTTTCAAAGGAAGCATTACAAAGCAATGGAGGATTCACCCAAAATCTAAGAAATACGGCAAAATGTTACTGTTAAACCATCTGTTCCAGGTGGTTTCTTTCTTCAATGATTAGCACTTAATGAAGGTGTAGAAGACTTGTGTGTTTCAATAATTAAATTTTAATTTGCAGATGAATGCTCATGAGCAATGTGCCATCTGTCATGACTCCTTAAACACAGAAACGTTATGTATGGTCATTATCAAGATATGGATCTCAATTACAATATTTCTGCATTTATCTAGAACTTATTTTTCCTGACATTATAGTATTTATGCTGTATTTCCACATTCCCTTGTCAGCATCCTCTCTTCTAGTTGAATAGTTTAAAAGAGGAGAGAATGCTATTATTTTTTACATGAATGAAAATGGATGAAATGCATTTATTAAGCATTTACTATATGCCAGGCACTGAGTTAAGTGTCCTCTTCTCAAGGATCTCACTCAAATTGGGTAATACAACACATAAAAGAAATTTCAGCCTACAAGTTTTAGGCATACCTTTCAAGGGCAGATCACAAGGTCCACAGGCACTTAGATTACGTCAGAAGATCAGGTGACAGTGTCAAGGGTCTGCAGGTAAAGCCTGGAAAGATTTACAAGAGAGTTGCAGGATATATGATAAGGCCTAATAATATCACCAGGAAGAATGAAGTTGTAATTCCTCTAAGCTAGATGGCTCATTGAATAAAATGCCATTTCTGAAGTCTAGCAGACCTGAGGTCAAATCCAGCCTCAGACAGTTACTACTGTGTGATCCTGGGCAATTCACTTAACCCTGTTTGACTCAGTTTTATCTCCTGTATTAATGACCTGGAGAAGGAAATGGCAAACCAATCAGTATTTTTGCCAAGAAAGTCCCAAATGGGGTCATGAAGAGTCAGACATGATTGAAACAACCCAACAACAACAACAAATCTCCTCCAAGTCTCATATGTGAGCAGACAAGGAGCAGCACAGTTCAGGAGTTGAAAGTGGGAAAGTCCCAGGAAAATTCTGTCTTGAGGAATGGAAGATCAGAAGCCTTATATATGTGCATAGTTTTATTTTTTTCTCTTATGCTTTTGTTTTGTTTTGTTTTTAACCTGGATCTATAATTTCTTTAGTGTAGACATTCTCTCCATAAATATCAAGGAAAGGAGAGTCTAAGACAGTTGCCTGAGGCAGTAAGGTTAAGAAATATAACCAGGTTCACACAGTCAGTATGTGTTAGAGTTGGGTGGAACTTGATTAGTTGAAGGAACTAAGGATTCTTAGCCTAGAAAGAAGATTGATCGAAAGGGGATAAAGGACACCAGGACGTGATAGATCTCTTCAAGTTTTTGAAGGTCTGTCATGTGGAAAGCACTAGGTGGCTCAGTGGATAGAGCCCAGGAGGACCTGAGTTCAAATCTATGCCTCAGATACTTACTAGCTGTATGATCCTGGGCAAGTTACTTGACCTCTGTCTCCCTAAGTTTCCTCACGAAATTCCCTAGGATCAAAGAGTTTCAACATCAGGATGGTGACAAATCCTTTTGAATATTTTTGCTATCTGTTCAGGTAAATCATTTCTATCATGATGAAAAAGAATAAATATTGTCTACAGCTTCTAAATTTCAGGACCACAGACCTGCACAGGTTACAGCTCTGACTATACAACTGGGGCACCCAATATATCTAGTTTATTATTTACTGATGCTGTGACCACACAGGCAGAAGAGTGAAATGAAAAGTGATCATAAGAATGTTACTATTAATTTTGCTACTAACATAACAACAAAGAGTGAAATTTGATCAAATCAACATATGAATAAAACATGTAACACTAAATTATTTAAATATATTGTTATGCTATCATCTTTTTTCATCAAATTAATAATAATAGTTTATATTTTTATAATTTTTAAGATCACAAAGTATTTTTATATACATTATCTTATATCCACAATACCCCTAGTGATAAAAATATTATAAGTATTATTGTTTCCTTTTACAGATGGGGAAACTAAGGTTCGGGGAGGTTTGTGACTTACTCAGAGTCACAAAGCTAATAAATGGCTGAACTCAGGTCTTCCTGATTCCAGGCCCTGTACTCTATCCACCGAGCCACCTCTCTGCCCAGGTGGTTGGATCAGGGAGTAAATACTCTATTTTCTTACTCTAAATTCTTTCACTATGATACATGATTACAGTGTTATTTTTATTATTAGTATCTAAAAGTTCCAACAATTAGCCACATTATATCTAAAATAAACTTGAAATAACTAGCTTTTTTTTTATCATTTCTTGGTTTTGTTCACTAGAAAGAGTACATTTAGTGTCCAACATTCAGACTGGATAGGGATTCTTTGAAGAGCAATGTGGCAACACAAGAAACTCAAACACATACTCAGATCTTTTAAGTGAGGAAGGATAAAACAAATTAATGAGTAAGACTCTAACAATGATTTCAAGAAGTTTATAGTACCATATGGGCAGCTAGGTGGCACAGTGGGTAAAGAGCTGGGCCTGGAGCCAGGAAGACTCATCTTTTTTAGTTCAAATCTGGCCTTAGACAGTTAATATCTGTGTAACCCTGAGTAAGCCACTTAACCCTGTTTGCCACAGTTTCCTCATCTATTAAATGAACTGGAGAAGGAAATGGCAAACCATTCCAGCATCTTTGCCAAAAAAAAAACCTGAATAGGTTGAACACAACTGAAGAATGACTGAAATAGTGCCAAATGAGCTGAGACTTAAAATAAATGAGGAAAACTTAACATTTATAACATGCTTTGAAGTTGACAAAATGTGTTCCACATCAGTGAAAATTACTACAGGTAAATAAGTTTAAAATGGTCTTTAAAGCTATTTGAAGTTCAAATGATTCTTGATTATATGTCATTTGTCATTATCAGACTGAAAATTTTGGTAGCAACAGTAGAAAGTTCAGATAAAACCACTTAGTGTATGTATATGTGTGTGTACATATATATATATGTATATATATATGCATAAATAATATATGCAACAAGAGATGCTCTATTATATATCTGATTAATAAATGTGCCATGGAAAACTTATGCATAATTTGTGTGGCAATTATAATAAATTAGCTATCTCTTGTGGGACTATAAACAATAAATTCATTGAATTCCCAATGCTAAAATACTTTGAAGTAGAATATCTTTTTTATTAAAAATAATGAGTGCTACTGAATATTTTTATGGAGTTTTTGTTTTGTGACATCTCCTAGCCCCATTATGAATTTATTGCCTTTATATGTTAGGTTGAATTTCAACATAATATATATGGAATTTTAAAAGTAAAGTGAATATTTAGATTCCTATTTCTTCTCTGCATAGTTCTAAATTGAATTTATCTCAACTTTTTTTTTTTTGCACAGACCTATGATTTCATAAGTGTATAGACCTCCCTAGAGAGGAAACTCCCTGTACCAATGCAGATTGGTAATTATTCTCCAACTTGGAGTCTATGGACCTTGAAAGTTAAGTAACTTGCTAAGGGTGTCAGAGGCAGCATATGAAGCCAACTCATCGTGATTCCCATACTCACTTTCTATGCACAACTGTGCATTATCTCCTAAGAGTTTGTGTATGTACACATACACATATATGTTTAAATAATGTCTCAGTGGGATTTTAGAGTTGAGATACATGAACCAAGAATTAAAGTGAGATTAATCCTGTTCATTTGATGAATAAGTGAGTCAGACAGAATGCCCTACCTTGATATTAAAAGATACACGTTATTTGGTTTGTACATGCAAAAATAGGATATGTTTTATCATATCTATAAAATTTCTGTATCTATATTCCTTTAAATAGAACTTCACTTGCAGTCATAAGACTTGGGTTTTAGGCCTAACTCTGATATTTATCTAATCCTGTGACTATAATATCAACAAACCTCTGAGCCTCATCTTTCCCCACTCTAAAATGTTGCTAATATATTGAACTATAAAAAATAATTAATTTGAAACATTCAGAGAAACATGGAGAAACATATAAAATGACACAAGGTAAAGTAAGTAGAACAAGTAATAAAAGTACACAATGATTTCACAAATGAAAACAAAAATAATAAAACAAATCAAAATGTTGTATAGATATAATGCTCAAGCATAGTTCTAGAGAACTGATGAAAAAAAAAATCTCCCTCCTTTCACTGAAGACTTGGAGACTATGTATATGGAATGTTGCATATAGCTATATATGTTAGTTTTGAAAAGTGAGGAATTTTTTATCTTTATTACAAGGGAAGGTTCACTGGGTAAAAAAGGTAAGAGAGATATTCAGATGGAATCAAACTTTTAAATATATTTTCACTTCTTGTCTCATAGGGTATGCAACAGTTTAAAATTATGAAGAATTCTCCACATGTGGACTACGAGAGGAACCCATGCCCCACCACCACAGTAAACTCTGGAAGGATATAAGCAATGGTGGATACCTGGAACTGGTCATCTTCTGGTAAAACATTTACCTTGGCCCTTTTTGTGAGCTACCTGTTGTAGTTTAGTGGTGAAAATTTTGCCACTTTGGGACGATGAAGTAACTGTCTGAATGGCCACTGAAGCAGGAAATCACCTACTCCGTAGACTTTGAAATGATTTTCTCTGTATGTTTCTCTTGAATTTCTGGTAAGATGTGGAGAATGGCATACCTCCTCATTCTGGCAGAAATGACCACTGCTTATACATGGCACCTACAACAAGGGGTCTACTTGATCAGTTTTAGTGTAATCCTTTGACTGCCACTTCTGCTTTATGTTTTGTTTTCTTTTCCTTGTGTATAAGTAACCAAAGAACAGTCCTAAGATAGACATTTCCAACACTGGAATCAACATGAGTATGAGAACTTGGAAACTTGTGGGATCTTTATTTAGGGCCAACTTTTACTTCAGGAGGAATCTGCTATAACTGCTAGAGAACTTCTTAGAGAAGAATACCATTGACAAGGGAAGTTGAATCCCTGATCTGACTTTCCAAAAGACCCATGGACCTTGAGGGAGAAAATACAGGGCCAAGAAGAAGGTAAAATGCAGATTTCATTAGTTACATAAAATGTTCCATGTTTTTATACTTTAAGTAACATTCTAATAGTTTTAAGTTGCTGTTTCATATTCAAGTCCTTGTCAAATTGTACTTGTGAGTTTTAGGTGTTCTTAACATTTTTTGGTATGCAGAGGAAATAAATAGATGTCCTATGTCCAGGGGTATGCTGGTAAATCACTGAGAGGGTGAAAAGTAGAGACATCACAGACAGAATATATGAATACATTTTTAAAATTTAATCTGCCTTATTAACATTTTCATTGTATTATTAACATTTTCATGAGTATTCAACAAAATACTAAATCAATGCCTAATTTGTAGCAATTGCTAATTCCTGAGGTGTAAATGCTCATACTCAATGGGCTCTCAAAAACCATTTAGAGCTGTCTCTAGCATACCCCTCCTTATACTTGTTCTACATTGTGACATTGGGTACCACTACACTCTCCTTTTGGAAGAGACCATAGGTACAAACCACAATGAGCTCAGGGTGGGGGCACAATGGATTAAAAAAGTTTGAGGGGAAAAAAACCTGAGAAAGTGTAGGGCCAGGTTCCTAGGACTGACCTTGGTCCATATGTATAGGTCTAAAGAATGGACTCCTTAGTAGGTGAGTGGGTTCCCCGGACCCAAAAGCAGTTGTGGGGGTTTTATCCTATTATTCATAAAACATATTAATACCTTGAATGGATTTGAGAAGTTGGCCTTTTTGAATAGTGCAGTAATATTCACAAATTTAGAAAGGTCTATCTGGGATTGGGGAGAAAGAGGTAAGTCAGTGAATGAAAGATCTGAATTATAAACTAGAAAATAAGCTTTCAAGTTTACAGACTTAGTCGATCAATAGTTCAAATAGTTGTACAGGAAGGACTTTTAAACTAAAGAGAACAATTTTTTTCCAGACAACAAATGCATATTGAATAAATACCAGAAGATGGAAACCATGAAGATGGTGTCTACACTAAGAAAACTTTCAATTTAGCAGCAGAGAAAAGACATGGAAATATGTGAAGGTATGGGAATGTCTTTCTTATATTATTCTCCTTCATGTTTTCTGTTCCAACAAAACTAGACCATACTTGATCCTGCCTTCTCCTTTCTACATATTTTTGTTCATACTGTCTCCTACATCTTTAATACATTCTTTTCCTTGATTTCCATCTGCTGATAGCCTTCCCTTCCTTCAAGGCCTAACCCAGACACCACTTCCTCCATGAAGTCTTTTCTGACTCCACCAGGTGAAAGTGATTTCACTTTCCTCAAATTTTCAAAGCATTTTCCTGTACCTTTCTTTTGAGGAGATCAAATAAAAAAGCATTTATTAAGAACCTACTATGTGCCAGGGACTGTGCTTGGCACTGGGAATACAAAGACAAGCATGATGAATGCAATAAAATGCGAGCATTAAGTTCAAAATTACTTTTTAATTAGCAAATTATGTCAGTATTTGTTCTTTTTCCCATTAGCTTGTAAATGTGGAATATTCCACTGTTTGTACCTGTTTGCAAACCTAATGCCTATCACAGTGTCTTCTTGAACATTCATAGCTGCTTAATAAATATATAAATGAATGCATGACAGGAAAATGGAGATTGATGACATTAGGATAGCTCCTAAAACTACTTTAGGAAAGTAAAAGTGAAGTCTAACCAAAATAAAATAAGGCAAGATCTTCTCAACTGTTTTGTAATGTAAAGTTATGTCTCCTGAACCTAATTAAGCTAAGATGAAAAAGAAAAATCTCCAAAATCAAAGATGACCAGATCTACTTAATTTGGGAATAACTTATAATATATTTATTTGTACTATATCATAACAGAAGATCGAAGGGTTGTATGGGGTCTAGAAAAGGAGGACAAAAGAGTAAGAATTTGTTAGCATTTACAAAACAATATTTAAGAAAGAATTATTTTGGACATCTTTGGCCCTGAGTAACAGGTCACTATAAAAACTGATTCTACATATACCCTGAGAGATTCTAGGATTTGTAAAGTAGGAGTTTCCTCTGACTTAAAATTTGTAATTGCAGCCAAAAGCAAGTTTACATTGATGGAATACCAAAAGCCTTCATATACATATATACATACATATATATGTATACATACATATATATGTTTTAAAGAAGCATTCAAATGGGTGGGTGGTAAACTAAACAAGAATACAAAATGAGATAGAGAACTCTAAGAACAAAATCAAAGGAGGTAAGTACAAACAGAAATCAGGTCAAATGACAAATGGAAGGGTTCAGCAGGGAGAGATTTGCTGGAAGAAAATAACCAATAAATTGAAAAGCAGAAAACAAAGACTTATGGTCATTGAAGTCCAGATTAAAAACACACCCTCATGTATATACAGAGGGAACTTTTGAAGCAAGACTGATCAAAATGTGAAAGAGAAAAAACCAGGGGAATAGAGGAGAAAACAATCCTTTAGAAAGTCTCAGACTAACATTCTGATAAATAAAAATGTCATGTTGCAGAGATCTTATGATTCATATGAAGAATTTGTATACCAATTCAAATATTGTAACATATATCAAACAATTTCAAAAACAGTCCTTTCTGCAATGAAGCCCACTTGTTTTCCTTACATTTTGGGATAAAGGAAAATGAATAATTCTTTTTGTATGAATAATTCCAACTTTCAGAAAAATTTGATTCGTTTTAGTATCAATTTGACAGAAAAGTATACAACTGAGTCCCCTGAAAGAGGATTTTTTCATTTGAATTCACAAAAAAAATCATTAGACAATGACTACTAATATTAAAATGTTAGTCTTCATCTTACAAAAATATAGCAAAAGTTTCATTTATACATGAATTCACTTAATGAGTTTAAGTATTTTTCAAAGCTCATGAATTTGGGGAGGATGACCTATTAAAAATAAGTCAGAAATCAGGATAAACCATTTAATAATGATCATTTATCATTGTACCCACTTTCTGATAGAGGTGTTGAATTCAAGGTGCAGACGGAGACCTGGTTTTGTTTGTTTTTTAGTATGTTGGGGTAATGGTGCATCATGGTTAATGTAACAGTATTGCTTGACCATACATGTCTGTAATAGTAGTGATAGCTAATATTTAAATAGTGTTTACTCTTTGCCAGGCACCATGTTAAGTGTTTCATAATCATTATCTCATGTGATCCTCACAACAACCCCGAGAGGAATGGGCTATTATCACCTTATTTTACAGATGAAGAAACTGATGCAAACAGAGAATAAGTGACTTGCCAATTTCTGAGGTTAGATTTGAAGTCAGATGGGAGTAGTATAATTTCATTGATTGAAAAGTACTTTAAAATTCATATTTATTTTATTCATTAATAAGCATTTATTAAATTCATGATGATAGGTGTTAAGGATAAATAAAGAGGTAAATGAATATTTGAGATCATTGATTTGAATGTTCCCTCCAATTATGCAAATGGAACCCATTAATGCTTTTATATTCTCTGTGACTCTTGTCAATGTTCTCCCACAAATTTGTTATTGGGGGTCCATTCAACATGCTAGAGGCCTCCCACACTTTTCCTTACTTCTCCAGAAGGCCAATGGAGAACTCTGGTTGTCCATCCTATCTTCTCATCCTACTGTACATTTCCATAATGATATCTTTACTCCTATTCTTTTCAGAAGTTTCCCATTGGTTATAACAAGCAGTCATTCACATTCACTCTGTACCTTCCATTTCTCTCTGTGTGATACTCATTTTCAATACTTCAGTATCATTGTATTCTTTGTCTAGAAGCCATATAGTAACAACACCAGTAGATTCTAGGGCAACAAGGAAAGTCAGGCCATATCCTCAAGGACCTTATGTTCTTCTGGTTTACAAAGTACATTCTCCACAGTGGTCCTGTGAGGTAGTTAGTATAAATGTTTTTATCTCCCTCTAAAGATAAAGAAATCAAGCCTGGGAGACTGTTACTTACCTGGGATCTCATCAATTCTTTCAGATTTGGGACTGGAACTGTGGTCTTCTGACTATGTATCTGGGGTTTTTACAACTGTAATATTGTGTTTCTGTTCATTTTAAATTATTGTGTTATTTTGGAGAAATTATATAAAATTATATTTGTATATAATTGTATGAAAATTGGACTTGAAACCAACAGGAACCAGAGTAAATCTGATAGTATTTCAGCCTTAGCAATTGTTGAAAAACTCACATTTCTCTATTATTATTTACTTATTGCCTTTTCCCTTTACAAAATGAAACATATTTAAATATTCTAGTTCTGGTTATTTGGATATATTTATAATGCTACTGGTTTATGATTAGACTTAGAGATGAAGAGGAAGGGCATGCTAGGCATGAGGAGTGGCTTATAATATTAGACCAAATATTAGGAGTCTACTTCATCTAACATAAAAGTTATGAAGAGAAATATATGAAATGAAGCTGGAAGGGTAGGTGCTAGTCACACTATAGGAGGTCATAAATGTCAGGTTAAAGTGTTTCTATTTTATTCTCTAGGCAGTGGGGAGCCATTGGAGGTTTTCATTAAGGGGAATAAAATTATCAGATACATATCTTAGAAATATTGTCTTAATAGCTCTGGCAGGATGGATTAGAAATTAGAGAGAGTACTATAGTAATTCAGGTGAGAGACGATAAAAGGCCTAAATTAGAGTGATGATTGTATGAATGGGGAGAAGAATGTGGATGAGAGAGGTATCTCAAAGATAAAACAGACATGACAAATGACTAAATATAGAAAGGCTCAGAAAGAGAGATGAGAATGATGCTAAGATTAAGATTAAGCATGGATGCTCATGTTGTCAACAGAAGTAAGAAAGTTTTAAGGAGAGGTAGCTTTTGGGCATGTTGGGATGCAATGCTTATGGGACATACAAGAGAAGATCTATAGGAGGCAGCTGATGGTTACCAGAATTCTAGAAAGAGATTATGGCTGGACAAATGAATTTGAAAGCCATTTGCATATTTGAAAGAGGTATTTCATAACCAACTTACAACAAGACAGACATGAAGCCAATGTAGTTTAGGTATCCAGGTGAAGATTGTGCCCATTTTTCCTTCTGTTTGGCAGTGTGGTATAATGGATAGGACACTGGATTTGCAAAAATCAGCAAATCAACCTTATTTGAATACCATCTCTGACACTTATTAACTGTTTGTCAATGACAGGTCACTTATCCTCTCTGTGACTCAATTTCCTCATACAAAAATTAGGTATTGTTCTTACTGGTCTCTGTAATGTACTTCCAGAACTAAATTTTTCTCTTTTCCACATTCTCCCTCCAATTAATTCAACTTCCTAGGCCTCCCCTTTCTCCAGAACTGCTAGAACCCCATGTCAGTATACTAACACTAAAACTCTTCAATCTCCTTCTAATCCATAAATTCTTAGCCTGAGGTTGTGAACTTGTTTTTATTAAAAATATATTTATATAAGTATATTTTAATATAATTGGTTTATTTTATAATTTTAGTTATATAAAAACATTAATCCAAGAACACACCAAAAATGCTAAGATCCCTTGCTCTAAACAAACGCTCTTCAATGACTGTGACTTAGGTACTCTGTATATAATAACCTTAAAAGAAGTAGTTATAGAAGATAGAACAGAAAAGCAATTGGCTTTGGATTCCTTTCAACATTTCATTATTATAAATGAATTTCCTTTTTATAACTCAACACAAAGTGAGTGGATGTTGATCATAAGCTATCAAGGCATGATCCAGAGAGAAGGGTACCATTAATTTAAAAGTTTGGTTTTTATTTTCAAAGTCTAGCAATGTGATTCACTCTTTCCACCAGTTAATTAACATTCCTCCTACCCTCACACACACACCTCTGAGCAATCATTCTACTTTGGCAACGAGGCTCCTCACATTGATTTCTTGCCAGCCACACAATAACAGTGTAGCAGGCAGTGACCTTCTTGTTGCTCTGGTCAAGCACTTGAAGCTTGTGCACTAGATCTCCAATGACATTTCAAAACACACTGGAGCCCCTACTTCATCTCATCTGGAAAGTTATTTCTAAAGACAGGCTTCCATAAAGGATATGGGCAAAGGTCTACTGACTGGAAAAGGATGCTTAAGAGAGAAGTTACAAATGATGGTGATGATTGATGACTCACCTTTGTATAACATTGTACAACTACAAAGTAACACATTATTTTCTTTGATCCTCTCAACAGCCCCATGAGGTTAGGAGGTTCCATTTTTTTTTCAGATGACGGACCACTCAGAATAAAGGGCTTATAAAAGACACAAAGCTGTGTTTTCATCAGACAAGTGACCTAATCTCACTTGGACTGAGACTCCTCATCTGTGAAATAGGAAAAAAATAATAATTGCATTATATATTGTATATAATTGATCAGAGAATCAAAAGTTATAATATATGTGTAGTGTATTCTCTACTCGCTCTCCTTCAGAACCTACTACTACATCTCTCCTTCTGGGTGCCAGGATATGAGGGGAAAGAGGTCATCTCTTTTCTATTGGCTGGCTTAAGCCACCACTAGCTATGATTGTCTCATTTGTTAGGGGCCAATGACTAGTATTCCAGTTCCAATCATACATGGTAGTTTTTTAAAAGGGATATTTACTTCAAAGATATGGAAATAACAAATGTATAAACCTTTCCCCCCCAATACCTCTGGGGTATATTCTTCCCTATACTTCATTCTGTGGGAATTAGCTCAAAATTCTTAAATAGCTTTGGACCCACTATGTATAGATGTGGAATATTAATGCCTTGGCTGGGTTAGACTTTCTGCTGGGACGGGGTGTCCAAAGTAACTCTTAAAGATCAAAGAACTCTACTCTCACCAGATACCATTAGAGAGAGCTCCTGAGCTCCCTCCAGATTCAAATGAAGTTAACAGAGATGACTGAAGCTGAAATCTTTTTGAAAACATCACCAGTTTTAGCTTCACAGTTAATTAAAACATTCTTTCTCCCCGTCCCCCCTCAATCATGTAGGTTAGCCATCTAGAACCAACAACAGAATTTTCATACATGTGCCAGCGTCTCTCCAAGGCTCTTCCTTTACATATCATCATAATTCTCCTGAGATCCATCTCCCCAGCTTTCTACACATGCACCAGACCCCCTCCATTCCACATGTAAAGTGCTATGACTGCAAATTCAAGTTGTTTTGTTTTCAGTATATTAAACTTGGGCCAAAGGTGGAAAAATATTTTAGTAATCACATAGTGGTGATCTCATCAAGTCCCATGAGTACAATCATCATCTCTATACAGATTACTGGCAGTTCTCAATATCGAAACCTAGTCTTTCTACTGACATATACCATTTGACAACTTCCTGTTGGACATTTCAAACTAAATATCCCATAAACAAATCAAACTCAATATGTTCAAGACAGACTTAGTTATCTTTATTCACAAATCTACTCAACTTCCAACTTTACTATTACTTAGTTTCAAGGGTACCACTATCCTTCCAATCACTCTGGTTCTCAACCTCAATTTCAGCCTCACTTTGTCTCTATCACCCCACATAATTCATTCACTTGTCATTTCTGTCTTGAAAATCTCCCTCTTCAAAAATCCCCTTTTCACCACAAATGTAGCTATTCCACTAATTCAGCTCTTCCTTACTCCTTTCATGAACTGTTGCAAAAGTTTTTAAATTGTACTGCCTCGTTCAATTCTGCAATCCATCTTCCACTCAACTGCTAAATTGATTTTATTAAAGTGCAGGTCAGAGCATGTCACTGCCCTCCCTCCACACATGTATTCCAACCTCTAATTACCTACTATCTCTGGTTTCACAAATAAACTTAACAATTTGACATCTAAAGTTTTTTTTTTCTTTTCACAACCTGTCCCCCTCTCTGTCTTTTCAGTCTTCTCACACATCACTTCTCTACACACATTCTATCTTCTAGTCACATTTGTCCTCACACACAACACCCCATTTGTTCTCCATGCCTTTATACTGACCCCACCCCACCCCTGACCTAAAATGACTCCTCATTTCCAGATCTTAAAATAACTAATGCCCTTCAAGACTCAACCCAAGCCCTACTTTCTGGAGGACTTTCCCAGTTCTTCCAACTATAAATGCCTTCCCCATCTAAGGCTACCTTGAATTTGGAAGTATCTTTTATAAATAAAAATATATGCATATATCATATTTCCCATTATAATTCAAGTTCCTTGAGGATAAGGACTGTTTTTGCTTTTTCATCATATTCTCAGAGCTTAGCACAGTGCCTGGCACAGGGAATTTGTTTAATAATTGCTTGTTGGTTGATTAAAAAATATAGTTTTTGACAAACTCTCTGGTAACCACAATGTTCTGCAGCCTTGCCTTGTACCCCATTCCCCAACTATTGGTACCCCAAATACTAAAATAATTATGCTGCATTAATTTTTAAACAATCTATAATTCATACTAGTAATGGGGTATGACCCAATATTATTGTTAATTATTAAAGTGGTATTGAATTAGAAAAGTCATCATGGAAAGATAGGAGAGAGTATGAAATATTTTATTATATTTTTCTTATCATTTTAATGAAAGCAAAAGTATTTGGTAGATGGTCGTAGGTGAGAATGCAAAGTTTTGTGGTTGAATTTTCTACAATTTTAGTTGTTGTTTTTAGTAGTCTAGCAAAGCATTGCCTTCTATTGGCTCTCCTTAAAAAGTTTTTTTTTTAAAATGGAGTGAAAAGGGGATTAAATTTGAATTTCCAAACATTGTTTCCCTGCTTTTGTCTCCAGGATCACTTGAAGAAAAATGTAACAGTTTCCCTGGAATTGAAAGGGATGTGAACAGAGCATAGAAGACAATGTGAAATATCTCATTGGAAAAACAACTGACCTGGAAAATAAATCCAGGAAGAGAGATAATTTAAAAATTATTGGACTATCTGAAAGCCATGACCAAAAAAAAGAGCCTAGATATCATCTTTCAAGAAATTATCAAGGAAAACTTCCCTGATAGTCTAGAACCAGAGGGCAAAATAGAAATGGAAAGAATCTACCGATCACCTCCTAAAAGAGATCCCCAAAGGAAAACTCCTAGGAATATTGTAGCCAAATTCCAGAATTCCCAGGTCAAGAAGAAAATATTGCAAGCAGCCAGAAAGATACAATTCCATAACAATTGTGTGGAAACACAATCAGGATAACACAGGATTTAGCAGCTTCTACATCTTAATGTAGAATGGACCACAGGGCTTGGAATATGATATTGCAGAGGGCAAAGGAGATAAGATTACAGCCAAGAATCACCTACCCAGCAAAACTGAGTGTAATCCTTCAGGGGAAAACAATGGATCTTCAGTGAAATAGAGGACTTTCAAGCATTCTTGATGAAAAGACCAGAGCTAAATAGAAAATTTGACTTTCAGGTACAAGACTCAAGTGAAACATGAAGAAGTAAACAGGAAATAGAAATCATAAGGGACTTATTAGGGTTGAACTGTTTACATTCCTACATGGAAAGATGATATTTGTAACTCATGAGACCTTTGTCAGTATTAGGGTAGTTGGAAGGAAAAAAATATATGTATAGATAGATAGAGGGCACAGGGTGATTTGAAGATGAAGGGGTGATATCTAAAAATAAGGGGTGAGAGAGGATTATACTGGGAGAAGGAGAAAGGGAGAGGTAGAATGGAATAAATTATCTCACATAAAACAAACAAGAAAAAGCTTTTAGAGTGGAGGGGAAGTGGGGGAAGGTGAGAGGGCATGAGTGAATCTTATTCTCATCAGATTTGGCTTAAGGAAGGAATACCATACACACTCAGTTGGGTGTGGAAATCTATCTTACCCTACAGTAAAATAGGGGGTAAGGGGATAAGAGTGAGGAGGAGATGATAGAGGCAAGGACAGATTGGGGAAGGGGGTAATCAGAAACAAACACTTCTGAGGAGGTGCAGGGTCAAAATAGAGGATAGAATAAATGTGGGGTGGGATAGGATGAGGGCAAATATAGTTAGTTTTTTACAACATGATTACTATGGAAGTGTGTTGCATGACTACACGTATATAACCTGTACTGCTTGCCTTATCAATGAGGGTGGGTGGGGAAGGATGAAGGGAGAATATTTGGAACCCACAGTTTTAAAAACAAATGTTAAAAATTGTTTTCACATGCTACTGGGAAATAAGATATAGAGGCAATGGGGTATAGAAACCTATCCTGCCCTACAGGAAAATAGAAGGGGAAGGACATAAGAGAAGTGGTGGGGGAGGGTGATAGAAGGGAGGGCAGATTAAGGGAAGGGGTATTCAGAATGCATGCTGTTTTAGGGTGGGGGAGGGACAAGATAGGGAGAAAATTTGGAACTCAAAATCTTGTGGAAGTCAATGTTGAAAACTAAAAATAAATTAATAAACATAAAAAACATAATTTTAAGCTAATAAACTATAATATATAAAACCTAAAAAATAAAGCAAAAGAAAGAGAAAAAAAATATTTTCCCCCTGACAAGATGTTGGTCATCTAAACAAATGTCTTTGTTCACTAAGCAATTCATAATTTTCCTTAAACTTGAACTGTGTGAATTTCTAGGTCTAGTCTCTAACCTTTTTAATCCATCCAACGCCTCATTTGTTTTTCATGCCTTTGTAGAGACTGACCTCCAGACCTGGAATGGCCTTCCTCCTCTTTCTATCTCTTAGAATCATTGAATTCCTTCAATACTCAACACATATTTCCAGTATACTTGTATCATCACATGTCTCTCTCATTATCATGCCCCTCAAAAAATCTTCAGGGGCTCTCCAATACCTGGAATTTTAAGACACCCAAATCTGGCCCCAAATTATCTTGTCACCTTGCCTTTAAGCAACCTGAACTGCTTACTATTTAAAAAATATCCTTATGCTTTATTATTCTGTGCCTGTTTCCTCCACCTGGAACTTCTCATCTCCTCCTTTGACTGCTACCCTTCCTGTAAAGATCAGTCAAAGTATAACCTCCTCCATAGATTTTTTTTCCCCTAACATTCCAAGATGGAAGCAATCTCTTTTTTGAGCTCCAATAACATTTGTGTGTATATGTATAGTAATAATATTAAGGATTTATCACATTCTGCCTTGTATCAGATTTAGTCATGTGCTTGTCTCATCATTTCAATAAAATGTATTTGAAGATAGCATGTTACCCAGCAAGTGTTCTGCACATAATAAGCTTTCAACAAAATTTACAATATGAAGAAATAAAGTCATATGCTATTTTACAGAACAGTTCTACCTCCAAAATCTCAGATGTGGAAATTCCATCTCTGAACAACCCTTTCTCTTTTTACTCACTCCAATGCCTCACATACACAAATATTTTTCCTTCCCTCCATTATGGTCTTCAATCCTTTGATTCCTTCATATTCTAATATCACAAAATACTAGAAAGATCAATGGGTTTGGAAACAGGCAACTTTAGATCAAATCCCAGCTCTTCTATTTACTTCAGAAAAGGCCCCTCACTATTTGGAACCTTAGTTTCCTATTCTGTAAAATGAAATGGTTGGACTAGCTTACACTATAGCCAAATTAAACTACTCTATATTCCAAGTATTCTCTACATTTTTTGTTTCTGTTCAAAGACATAGGTCTTATGATTCCAAATGTGTTTCTCTTTCTACCATTCATGTTTGCTAATGTTCCCTTTTACACTTGAAATGCTTTCCTCCCTCCCTCTGCCTGTTGAATTCCTAATCCTTGTTTAAAGCCCAGCCCTATCCTACCTTTTTCCTGAAACTTTTTCTGATTCCCCCACCTCTGTCAAGTCAATCATGATTTTTTTAAATTTCTCACCATTAGTACTGCAAGGACGGATGAGCTAGTATTACATGAAATTATGTTTCCTGTTGTCTCTAGGCACATAATGAAGGCAACTCCACCAATTTCTTGATTTGCCTCTGAGAACTTGTAGATTACCTGCAACTTCTTTACATCTTCTGGGTTCATTAATGGCAAGAATGACATTATTTACTACTATAAGGTTTTGCCTCTAGGAGATTCATGATTACTCAGAAGATAATGGCATACAGAGGGTAAAGAATAACTATTAAGCAAACTGTGACATGCAGTTGGGTAGGCAACCCTTTGTAGTGCCTCAATTCATATATCTTGTACAGACATTGCAGCTGAGCCCTGAATTGAATAGGAAGTGAATAGACTATATTATGCTTGGGAAATTGCACAATGCTTCCAATCATCTTAACACAAAATCACAGGGTCACTGGAAACTAGACAGACATGTGGTGAGTGTAAACAGGCTTCATCAAATTATCCACAATGATTTTTGCACTAGAAATAATAATAAAAATATCACAGAGTAAATATGTAGTTAGAAAAAGGAGGTGGAATAGTCCTATCATAGGATCAAGCAATAAAATTCAAGACAGTTCTTTTATTCTAGAATCCATCATAACTTAAAAGATTTAAAGGGAAACTTACATTATGTTGTGTATATAGTCCCTGTTAGATTTATGTGAAGCTATTCTGGACTGGTCTGGCTCAGATTAGTCTCGTGGTAGTTTCAACTTGATACTGACATACTGGGGTCATTCAACAATTAAAAGAGATTTACTTAACCCTAGAAGGAGAAGGATTTTCAACAGGATAGGCATTGATGACACTGAGTTGATTGGTCCAAGAGGTCCCCAGTTCCTCATAACTGGTTTTGCACTCATGCAATGAAGAAGTAAGATCAAAAGTTTGAATCTGTAGTTCCTAAGCCAACCAAGGCTCAAAGAATGTCTCAATACCTTTTAAGGAAAAACTACTCTGTATTGGGATAGGGATTAAAATATTGCTTCTACCACAATTGTGGACAATAATACTACAGGAAGAGAGAGTATAATGGGTTTATGATTCACACTGGTGGGAAGTATCCTCACAGATCCATAAAAGTGATGAAGGAGTTATCTGTGTATATATCATATTGTATGCCCCTTGTACAGTGTAAGTTTCATGAAATCAGGGATGATTTCTAGGTAAGACTTTGTATCTCACCCATTACCCAGTATAGAGTCTAATTCTTGCAGAGGTGCAATAGATATTTAATTTAATTGAGTGGAATAAGATGTGTTAAAAACTTCAAAGGAAGTCCTGCACCATACACATTTATTTATTTGATCCATGAATTGTTAATTGAAGTCAGTGGGAGTTCATTAAAAACTTTATGGGAACATGAAACAAGATGTCAGTATATAATATGGAACTGGATATGATAGAGTATATCTCAGTTTAAAAGAATCTTTGTATGAGATATCAAAGATTTACAGTATTATGAGAGAATTAACCTACCCTATTTTACTTTATCATTGCTTATGTAGATTGAGCTTAATGCTAAAGTAATTTTCAAATGTATGTCTCATAAGCATCTTAAAGTCAGCATGTCCAGGACCAAATGGACTGTATCTCACTCTAAATCCTCCCCTTTTTCCAAAGACCCTATTTCTGTCAAGGGCACTACCATCCTTCTAGTCACTTAGGTCCAAAACCTCAAAGTTATCTTTGGCTCCTCAACTTTCACTTGCCTATCATTGTCCATTATCTGTCAAGTCATTTGCGCTGCATCTAGAACATTTCTCATATCCATCCCCTTCTTTTCATGGACATGGTAACCAGAGTAATTTAGGCTTTTAACATCCTTCAAATAGTAAAGCATAAGGGTGGCTTTCATATCTTGTCCACCATGCCTGAATCCATTCCACTTTACTTCTGACTTTAAGAATCCTTAGCTTCCTTCAAAACTCAGCTCACATGGCATCTCCTACATAAAATTTATCCTAAACTCCACAGTTTCTAGTTCCCCAAAATTACAATCTCTCTTAATACAAACACACATATACAGGGTGTCCAACAGTTTAATTGA